GCTCACAGGGGTTAACCCTTTACGCAGCGTTAAACTGTGCCGTGGCTGCTGGAGAGACACTGGCTCAAGAGACAAAGATGAGGAGAGGAAATCTGTTCTTGCTTCATCCTCACTGCAAGCAGGAGCCAAGGTGCTCTACGATTTATTTTAATCCCGGGCTAACAGAGTGCAGTAACCTGAAAAATATAAATCTTTAAGCTGAAAAATATAAATCTTGGGATGTTTGTGGAAAATTCTGCAGTAAGCAGATGACACGTAAAGTTTAACATCCACAGCAGCGCACTGCTTCGAGTCATGGTGCCTGCAGAAACTTCACTTCTTGGTAGCTTTTTTTTTTTTTTTTAATATGTGATTTCGCTTTTTTCTTTTTCCACCCTGTATTGTCACTGAGAGCTCTTCAGCTGAGCTGCTCAGTGCCACCTGGTGGTAGGAGAACCGGCTTTTGCTCCCTCCTAGCGGGAGCTACCAAGGAATGGCAACAACCTGGAGTATCCAACGCAGGATGTTTCCAGGGTGTCTTCATGGGAATGTGGCTGCCTTTTTAAAAAAGATTTTTGTTTTCAAATTTCAGAATTTGTTTTTCCTTCTCAAATGCCGGGCAAGATTGCTGCTACCACTAGGTGGGGCTGGGACAGCCTCTCCCACGCCTGCTTTCTCTCCAAAATCCACAATGAAATAAACAAAATATCAGGGAAAAAAAGAAGATAGATGGGATTAAAGACTTTATTAAATTAAGAGTTTTTCAGCTGGAAGGTCTCTGCCTTTACAGGCGTTATTACAGATAGCAAATGCCTCCCGTTCCCACACTGGGTCCAGCACATCCCACTGACCCAAGAGCAGCTCTTGTTTTGACATGCTGGGTTATTTTCTTTTAATTGAGAGAATATCCTCCTGAGCAGATCCGTGTTTTCCTCGGCCTCTGGGTGACGTTTCAGGGATGCAGTGTGCGGTGTCGTGGTGTTTGCCACGTGGATGTTGAAACCTTCAGCTCTTAAAGTAACAGCAAGGTGATGGCCAGCCCAAACCCACTGAACTGCTGCCCTCAGGCTTGTGCAAACTGGGCCGCTCTTGGGAAATCGGTCAGGTGCTGGGGGACCTGAATGTTTAATTTGTTATTATTTATTTTTTAAAATAAGCTGAAGTTCACCGCGTTGGCTAGGATTTGGGCTCCCGCCCCTGCCTCCCAGCATGGGATTTTGCCCGAGCGCGCTGCTCTGGAGCAGAAAGCAAGGTAGAGATGAGGATGGAGATGGTTTGGGATCACGTCTGCACTGTGGGATGTGATGGGAGCTGCGAACGGAGCCGCCGAGCCGGCAGCGAGGGGAAGGACAGGTTTGCACACTGTAAATGTAGGAGAGAGGTGCAGGGGTGCCATGGGGAGCAGCGGGCGCTCGCACTGAGCGGCACCGTCCTCCAAGGGCACCCGGCCCCGTGGAACCATCCCAAAGCCCAGCCCCTGGCAAGCAAGCAGCAGCCCCCCGCCGGCATTCCCACCCGGAGCCATCCCCGCGGGACGCGGAGGCGCGGGGAGGCCGGGGGCCGTGTTGCTTTAAGAGCCAAGGGCAGGCAGCAAGAATTTCGCTTTCAATCTGGCTTCTAAATTTGGAGGTTTGGGAAGGGAGGGCTCGGATTTCGGCTGGAAGGGAAGGAGCTGACAGGAAAGCACTGCCTCAGCCGTCCCCCTCCCCCCGTTCCTGACAGAGGAACCATTTACAAAAGGCCGATTCTCTTGGGAACGGAGAGGCAGGAACGCAGCGTCTGTGAGTAATTTCCTGCTCAATATGGCTGGGCCGACTCACAGCGGTTCCCCCGGGGCACCGCGGGG